TTTTGCGGTCGTATATTGGTATCACGTCGTCGTCGTCGTCCGAAGCCATTTGGTTTCCGGACAATAACTTTAGTAAATGTTAATAGAAATCTATGAAATTTAAACAAAAGGTTTATTATCACAAAAAGGAAGGTTGGGATTGATTTTGGGGGTTAAAGTCTCAACAGTTTAGGAATTAGGGGCCAAAAAGGGGTCCAAATAAGCATTTTTCTAGTTTTCAGACAATAACTTGTGGAAAAGTGTATGGATCTCTCTGAAATTATACCACAAGTTTCCATACCACAAAGGGATGGTTAGGATTGGTTTTGGAGGATTATGGCTCAAACCGTTTAGGAATTAGGGGCAAAAAAAGGGGAAAACAAGGGTTTCCTGGTTAATGGACAATTCAAAAGCAGTGTAAGGGAGGTAATCCAAACACATTTAAAGGACAATGTTGTGTATGTTTGGATTTACCTCCCTTACACTTCTTTTAAATTATGTATAAAGAAATGTATTGTCTTGAGGTGATTAGCTGTCAATTTATTTTTAGAAGTTACTATTAAAGGAATTTTAATTTTAGCCATGATTATGTATGTCATTTTCTATTTTAAGACTTTTATGATGTATTTAAATTGGTAATTATGGTTGCAAACTCCATTGGAAATTTGAATTGAGATTATGATCATATCTTGAGAGAAAGATTTTTTTTTTTGGAAAAAGGGGGGTGTGTGAAAAAAAAGGGGGCGGGGTAAAAAAGAAATTGTGTGGGGGGGGGAAATCTTTTCTCCTTTCAGATTTCAGAAATTAAAAATATTATTTTTTTTTGCAAAAAAAGGGGGGGGGGGGGTAAAAAAAAATTTTTTTTTTTTGGGGGGGGAGGGTAATATGCAACAGCATAGTGTATTGCACAAAAATAAAAAAAGGGGGGTATATTTTTTTTTTGGGGGGGGGGGGGGGGGGGGTCAATTCGCAACAGCATAGTGTATTGCACAAAAGCAAAAAATTGAATAAAAATTAAAATCATATAACCAATTCTAAGTTCTTTGACTACAGTTATTCTGTGTCATAAACCTATTATGTGTCAAATATTTAATTACAATCCAAATTCAGACCTGTATCAAGCGCGAATATTGTGTCCATTTTTGCCCCAACTGTTCAGGGTTGGACCTCTGCGGTCGTATCCAGCTGCACTCAGCAAAGCATTTTATTATAACCATAGATATAATAGGCTATTATATCTATGTTATAACTGATCATGGAATTTGAATATTAAAATGAATAAAGGAAAGTTTGTGATTAATTAATTCCTTTACACAAGCTAATGTGTGTATTTGTTTGATTATTTTGTAATTCTTTGTTTGTTATATTTCAATGTATTTCATGAGGGCCTCGTGGAAAATTAGTTTTACAGCTAACTGTGTAACCTCTTTAAATAAAGGATTATTATTACATGTATAATTATAATTATTACTTAAAAAAAAATAGATTTTTTTTACTTCCTTTAAAAGCTGCACACAATTTGTATTACATATTTACACTTGTAATTAATTCACATTTATGAATATGGATAAGTGTTGTGTATTTACTATTAATTCATTCATGCAGCAATTACCACCTATTATCAAGAAAAGAAAACATGTGGTACACTTATAATATGAGAGACAAATTTATTTGAAAATTTGGTGTTTTCTAAGTGATGTGGCTGAAAAGCTGATTTTAAATCCATCATCGTTTTGGTATCATTTCTTGGGGAAACCTGTAGGACTGTATTAATGGGGAATCGTATTTTGGAAATTGTTTTCTTCATTTTTTTTGTAAATTTTTTTTAAGAATTTAGTGATAGGTTCGTTACTCTAGGTTCGTTAGTTATTCTGTATAAATTTCTTTTCAGAGTGCTATATAAATATATATATATTTTTTTTATGAAGCGAACCCTTTAAAAACTTAGCTCATATTGTCCATTATAAAATAAATTAATTAAATTCTTGGTGTACTTGGATATGCTGAATCTGTCCGAATCGGGGTCCAAAAAATTAATATATGGGGTTCTTTGATATGCTAAATCTAACCTTGTTTTTAGATTTGTGATTTTCAGGGCCCTGTTATCAAATTGGTCCACATTGAGGTCCAAAGGGTCCAAAATTAAACTTTTTTTTTTATTTCTTGGGGTTCTGTGTTATGCTGAATCTATCTCTAATCGTGTATTCAGATTTTGGATATTGGACCATAAAAGGTAAAAGTCCAGTTTCAATTTTTTCAGTTCTATGACCACATTTATTCTGTGCAAGAAACCTATGATGTGTCAAATATTTAATCACAATCCAAATTTAGAGCTGTATCAAGCTTGAAACGTAGTGTCAATATTTGCCCAAACTATTCAGGGTTCGACCTCTGCGGTCGTATCAAGCTGCGCCCTTCGCAGCATTTTTATTCCAGCATGTAATTGTTTCCGAATTCCTATATTTCACACCCATATGTCAGAATGGGTAGTATAAGTGTATCAAACAGTTGTAATTGCAAGTCGACAGGTATTGATAGATTACGTATCTTGCAAAGGCTAAATAGTGCTTTCTGTGCTTGTTCACTTAAACGTTTTTGGAAAATGACGCTATCAGCGGCATGTTTCCGATACCATTGACCAGAACTAACGGAAGTTGATTATGCCTCCGCCTACCGCACTCGGTTTCATATTTACTATTTTACATACTAACTGGAATCTGCTTGTATTACGCTACACTCGAACAAAGTCTTTGTTAAAGTGTTGTAGTCGGACGGGAACCAGTTTACATACGTTATTTTATTTACCAAAAAGATATCTTGACCTGTCCATATGTTTTTTTGTTATTAAATGGTATTTGGAGCTATCCCTTTGTTATATTTTTCATATTTATTCGAGCTTTCACTTTTATGCACATGTCTTACAATCGTAAACAATCGGTATGTATACATGATAAATAGATCCGTTTTGTTATGGTGTTGGACTTTTTACCCTCCAATGATCAGCAATCGCTAGACAAAATAGTTCTCCTAAATAATGTCAGCCTTTCATGCCATTTCAACTTTACAATCATTAAAAAAGTAATAATCAGAATCATTTTGATATCCATTGGATAGAAACTGGTCTTTATCAAGATTTACGAAGATTTTAATAATCGGAAATTAGTAATACGGTTATACCCACGCGGTGCGTATGAATCTTTGTTCACAAAGTTATAGCAGCAGAGTCTGTAACTGTATCATTATTAATTAACTACACTGTTATTGTACTTAAAATGATGAAAACTGCATATGCAATATAAGATGTCAACTCGGCCAATACAGATTTTTTTTCCGTATTGGCCGAGTTCTGATCCGGCCAAAACAGGATTTCGGAACGTCTCTAGTTTTTAGATCGTAAGTCACGATAAACTCAAACTGAAAGTAAACAGTTGTTTGTACGACGCAGTTTTTATTTACTCACCATAATTTAAACAAGCTGAAACGTTCAGTATGGCATATATTTTAGGTTAAAGACGGTCCCATTCATTTGAAAAGCATTTTGAAAGTAGACGATGGAATTATTTCAGGTTTAGGGAACGAGTAAATTATCACAAAGTTCATTTCTTGACGACCTCATAATTTCATCATGTCGATTTTTACTGTTCACTTTCGCTTCTCATGTTTTGTAAACGGTCTTTTATTTTTAAACCCGAACCAGGCATATGCATTCTGTAATTGCGCAAATCTTCGTTCTTTGGTCAATTGGCTTATGGATAGTTGTATCAATTTCAACTCTTACATTATTTTTTTTTTAAATATATTTGCATTACACATGCAATGGCAGTACCTTTCCAATTACTATTTATGTGTTGTGTCTAAATTAAAGTTGTAACACTTTATAGTGACTGGAAAGGGTAGAAAAATTCATCAGATGAGAAAAGGCTGAAGATGCATGGAAACGGCACCAAATCATTAGATATTGCATCTTATAAAAAGAAACTGAGATTTGGATAGTTCCACTTCAAGGTAAAAATGTTTATCTCTTGTGAAATGAAATAAAAAAATATTGTAACACTGTAGTTAATAAATAAAGATACTATTACATGTATTTCTGTATTGGCCTTATTGTTGGTCCTCGGCCAGCAGTATTGGCCTTCGGCTTCGCCTCAGACCAATACACCAAGACATGGACCAATAACAAGGACAATACAGAAATACTTACGCAATAATATTATAGAATGACAGTATGGTTCAATAGCGGGAATCAGCCCCTCAACTACTTTTTACATAAATATTAACTTCTGGCTTCAACTCCTTGTTCGTCTTGTCTGGAGATCTTGTTGTAGTTCCAGTTAGGCAAGCATTTTAGAGACGTATCCCGTCCATCCTCTCTTGACTTGTAATTTCTGGTGATAGATTTTGCCGCTTGACGTTGTATCTTTTCAAGCTTTTTTTTTTTTTTTTGTTACCGTGTAGGGGTCCCATACTATGGCTCCATATTAAATTGTAAGATCCATTCCTAAAGGTCTAGATCATTGTTCTAATCTGACACAAATTTCAATAACTGGAATGCTACCCGAGTTGAATATATGGTGACCTACTAGAACAGCATTATCACTATTGGAATTGTGTTTAATACCATGATTGTTCAATGTCATTAACTTAAATGGAGACAGACATTTGACCTGAAAGGTGGTGTGGGAGTGCAAAATCAAAAACTATCTGACTATGATATATGGTTAAAGAATGAATATCAATTACATGGGTCAACATGGTCAAGGGCAGAGTTGTTATGAAATAACAATATGGCAGAGAAGTGGTTTCAAGTTTCATATAAAGCGACCTGACTGACATGAAATAAAAAATCAAAGGAGTATCCCTATTTGTCTAATCTTCAATTCAAGGTGAAATAAAACTAGTAAAACAATATTATACTATTGTCTAAATCTACAGAAATATAATTTGCTTCAAGTAACAGAAATAACTAGGTCACTAGTAACTTATTTAATGAGTATGTGGGGTATAAGAGCTTGATAACAACAGGCTCTTCATAATCATTTGGTTTGAAAAGGATACTAGTAGTCTTTATTCTTGATTTAGAAAAATGTAATTGCAAGACAAAAATCACATTACTTAGAATACTTTAGATCATTCAGGTAGTCTTCATTTATATGTACAAAAGAACAGCCAGTAGTCATTGGATATTGTAGATCATTCAAATAGTCTTGACCTATTTATTAGTACAAAAGAACAGCCAGTAGTCATTGGATATTGTAGATCATTGTGGTAGTCTTGACCTATTTATTTATAGAAAAAAACAGCCAGTAGTCATTGGATACTGTAGATCATTCAGGTAGTCTTGACCTATACATTTGTACTAAAAAAACAGCCAGTTGTCATCTTCACATATACGAATATCAACTATATGCTTATGAGACATGTTGGAATGTTAAACTAATTACGGTATGTGAAAATCAAGACTTGCATAAAAAATATCACAATATTAGAGGCAGTGGCGTCATTTTTCCTCAGAGCTTTCAGCTCTTTGATTTTGCTGTAGCAAATGAACCATTGTTATTAAAAGTTAGTCCTAGATATGAATAAGAATCTTAAATTTCAATAGGCTGGTTAAATAGTTGAAACTTTGGTAATGTTCTTGATTTCCGTTTGCAGAACACAACAACCTTTGTCTTTGATAAATAAACGTTTAACTTCCATCGGAAACATTATCTTTCAAAAACATGTAAGGCTTGCTGCATCGATTCAACAATTTCAGATATAATTATAATGTCATCGGCATAATAAAAGAACGAATACTTTAATATAGATATGCAAATAATTGCTGCAAATATTTTCCTTAACCTGCAGGATCTGAACATCATTTTTCAACAAAGAAAAATTCAAGATCGTTGAGATACACAGAAAATAAAAAGGGGGATACATTTTCTTCCTGTCTCACTCCAATATTACAGTTAAAAACGACTGAAACTTCGTTCCCATTTCTAATTGACGATTTATCATCACTATACATGTTATATATTACCTTAAAAATTTTCCCGGAGATATTAGCCTTTTGTAACTTTATCCATAAAGATGTATTAGAGATTGTGTCAAGTACGCTTTTCTCGCCACTTTGCGTCCGTCGTCCGTTAACTTTTACAAAAATCTTCTCCTCTGAAACTACTGAGCCAAATTTAACCAAACTTGACCACAATCATCATTAAGGTATCAAATTGAAAAAAAAAATGTGTCTGGTGACCCCACCTGTCAACAAACATTGCCGGCATGACTTAAAATAGAACATGAGGTAAAATACAAGTTTTGTCTATTATCTTGAAAACCGCTATAAAAAGAGAAAATCTGACGATCAAAAATATTCAAGAATTTTGAGATCTACCTACTGTCCATTTACATCAAATCTGTCAGACGACTTCTTATAGAAGCAATTGTCCTTAAATGACGAATTTTTCATTTTTTCATTTTTGCCTTTTATAAATGACAAGTATAATAGATCTATATAGAAAGGAACTGTAAACATCTAAACTGATCAGCAATACAAGAATAAATCAGTCAACATGGCCAAAATCTTTCCAAACCTTATTGCAGTTATTGTCCTGAAATGAAGATTTTTACCAATATTTTGGGTTTAGCTTATTTTATAAAACTATAGTAGATAGATACAAACTTTGAATAGCAAAAATTCGTAAGGGTTCCGCAGAACCCAGTGTCTCGCCTACTCTTGCTGTTAGTCGCAGGCTCAACAAAAATGGGGAAATAATTATTAAAAATTTTCCTCTAGATACTATCTTTTGAATGTAAGAAGCTTCTGTTCAAGTTTGGTAAGAATCCAGGCATCTTCGCTAGCCAAGGGTTACGATCCACTTCCCTTATCTCTGGAGAGGAAGGGAGTGGATCGTAACCCTTGGCTAGCGAAGATGGAATCCAGGATGGTTTATGAATCTAATTAATGTTTTAAAAACTTTAACTGCAGACTGTATGTAATGTTAACTGGAAGAAAAACTAAGTCCATTTATAAGTAATATACGGAAAAACAGGATTTTTTTTTACAATATTTCATTCTAGATACTAGCTTTTGATCATAAACAAGCTTCTAGTTTCACTGTACGTACTGTTGTGCGTTTGTTTTTTCTACTTTGGCTAGAGGTATAGGGGGAGGGTTGAGATCTCAAAAAACATGTTTAACCCCGCCGCATTTTTGCGCCTGTCCCATGTCGGGAGCCTCTGGCCTTTGTTAGTCTTGTATCATTTTTAATTTTAGTTTCCTGTGTATAATTTGGAGTTTAGTATGACGTCCATTATCACTGAACTAGTATACATATTTGTTTAGGGGCCAGTTGAGGGACGTCTTCGGGTGCGGGAGTTTCTCGCTGCATTGAAGACCCATTGGTGGCCTTCGGCTGTTGTCTGCTCTATGGTCGGGCTGTTGTCTCTTTGACACATTCCCCATTTCCATTCTCAATTTTATTCTGTCCAAGTTTGGTACAAATCCAGGATAGTTTAAGAAAGTTATTAAAATTTTGAAAACTTTAACCACAGAGTGAATGTAATGTTAACTGGCAGAAAAACTAAGTCCATTTATAAGTAAAATACGGATAAACAGGATTTTTTTTAACAAAATTTACTTTTGAATACTATCTTATGATCATAAGCAAGCTCCTGTCCAAGCATGGTACAAATCCAGGATAGTTTAAGAAAGTTATTAAAATTTGAAAAAAACTTTAACCACAGAGTGAATGTAATGTTACCTGGCAGAAAAACTAAGTCCATTTATAAGTAAAATACGGATAAACAGGATTTTTGTTTAACAAAATTTACTTTTGAATACTATCTCATGATCATAAACAAGCTTCTGTCCAAGTATGGTACAAATCCAGGATAGTTTAAGAAAGTTATTAAAATTTGAAAAAACTTTAACCACAGAGTGAATGTAATGTTACCTGACAGAAAAACTAAGTCCATTTATAAGTAAAATACGGATAAACAGGATTTTTGTTTAACAAAATTTACTTTTGAATACTATCTTATAATCATAAACAAGCTTCTGTCCAAGTATGGTACAAATCCAGGATAGTTTAAGAAAGTTATTAAAATTTGAAAAAACTTTAACCACAGAGTGAATGTAATGTTACCTGACAGAAAAACTAAGTCCATTTATAGGTAAAATACGGATAAACAGGATTTTTGTTTAACAAAATTTACTTTTGAATACTATCTTATAATCATAAACAAGCTTCTGTCCAAGTATGGTACAAATCCAGGATAGTTTAAGAAAGTTATTAAAATTTGAAAAACTTTAACCACAGAGTGAATGTAATGTTAACTGGCAGAAAAACTAAGTCCATTTATAAGTAAAATACGGATAAACAGGATTTTTGTTTAACAAAATTTACTTTTGAATACTATCTTATAATCATAAACAAGCTTCTGTCCAAGTATGGTACAAATCCAGGATAGTTTAAGAAAGTTATTAAAATTTGAAAAAAACTTTAACCACAGAGTGAATGTAATGTTACCTGACAGAAAAACTAAGTCCATTTATAGGTAAAATACGGATAAACAGGATTTTTGTTTAACAAAATTTACTTTTGAATACTATCTTATAATCATAAACAAGCTTCTGTCCAAGTATGGTACAAATCCAGGATAGTTTAAGAAAGTTATTAAAATTTGAAAAACTTTAACCACAGAGTGAATGTAATGTTAACTGGCAGAAAAACTAAGTCCATTTATGAGTAAAACACGGATAAACATGATTTTTTTTTACAAAATTTACTTCTGGATACTATCTTATGATCATAAACAAGCTTCTGTCCAAGTTTGGTAGAAATCCAGGATAGTTTAAGAAAGTTATTAAAATTTGAAAAACTTTAACCACAGAGTGAATATTTGTGGACGCCGCCGCCGCCGACGACGACGACGGAATGTAGGATCGCTATGTCTCGCTTTTGCGACAAAAGTCGCAGGCTCGACAAAAATGATAAGCAAGACAAGATCTACAAAGAAGTCAACATGGCCGAAATCGTCAGTCAAATGGCGTGTGTAATGACTGAAACTAAAACTCAAAGTTACACACCGTGATGCGAAGCAAAAACTACAAAACAAATATTGTTCATACAACATTATGAGATGTTATGAGGTACATATTGTAATAAACAAAAGACATACAAATAACTTCATATCATTTTAATAGAGTTGCGGCTCATTAAAAGCACTCCTTGTAAATTTATGCATGTGTGTGTAGCAATGCAAGGATCGATGATCCATGAAAGAAAATCAAAAGAATACCAGTTACAGTCAACTGAGAGTAAATAACCACCAAAAGTCAATCGGATATATCACCATCTCAATTTTACATAGGTGCAGTCATGATGTCATGACCACTCATATAAATAATTATTTACAGTTGTTTCAATGCTCTCTGAATATTGTTAATCCATCAACCCCTTGCATTCCACATTTAGCTCCAGCTACTTTACACCCGTATGTTACAGCTTCTTCTAAAGTCTTTCCTCTGGATAAATACCAGATTACTGCTGCATTAAAAGTATCGCCTGCTCCTAGAGTGTCTACTACCTCTGTTGGCGGGAAACATGGAACAGAAATTAGTTTCCGGTCAGGTGACACAGCAGCTGCTCCGTCTTCACCCCATGCACAGACCATGTTGGCGCTGCAAGTATTTTCTTTAGTTAATACAGCAGTATTTTTCTATTAATAAGAATGTATAATAGAAGTTTCAAACATCATTAAAAACACTGAATCTTGATACTGCTACTACTACAAATCCTCTAAAAAGGACACACACACAAAACAGACAAAAACAACTGATTCATACCATACCATACTGATTTAACAGAAAATATAAAGAACAACCCAGGTTGTGTCACTTGTGTGTTGATATCATTAAAAGAGGAATGATATTTGACTAAACAATGATTATTTGTTTAGAGAGACCTTGAATGCAACCGCACTTGAGGTATACTATACAAAAATAAAAGTATTAAAGTACATGTACAATGAATAATATAAGGAGCATATACCCTTCTCTGCATTTGCTGACTATTTTCTGAACAGCTTCCTCTTTATTGCTGCATCCTCTATCTATGGCATATTCCTTACTAACAAAAACTGTATCCACTTTATTTAACAAACTATCTGAAAAAATACAATCTTTACATTACATCATATTTTCTGACTTTGAAACAAGTTTGTCCTCTTTCTCAATATTTAACAGACTGTATAAAATACCATATTACATCCCAATTTGATCTACATGTATTTCACAAGGTCAATAATACAAATGTCTTTCTTGTTAGAAGTCTGTTAAAAAGCATAACAAAAATACCGAACTCCAAGGCAAATTCAAATGGGGAAGTCCATAAAAACTGACAAAATCAAACGCTACTATCAATCAACGGAACAAGTGAAAAACAACTGCCATATTCTGACTTGGTGCAGGCATTTCCCGAAGAAAATGGTTGGATAAACCTGGTTTTATACCTAGCTAAACCTCCCATTTGTATGACAGGTGTTTATAATCATACATATAAAAATAAAAAAATGTTGTATGGTTGCCAGTGAGACAACTTTCCACCAGAGTTAAAATGAAGTGGATGTAAGCAATTACATGTTTTTTTTTCAAATTACAGACAACACCACCCGGTCCTTTAAGAAACTATAGGTTTTGGAAATACAGATAGCTAAATTTGAAAGAAACACTTGTTTGCCTCATCTCCTTTAACCTTCTAGTCGAATAAAAAAAGATGTCATCCAAGAACACGGTCAATAGCTTTTAAAGTGGTGAATGTTATCTGATGCAAAATATCAAAGTTAGGCAAAAGTCTCCGGAAAATTCTGATTTTAACCATTACAACCGCGCAATAAATCGTTTTGACGAGATCATGGCAAACAATTATTGATATTGTATTAGACAGTTATTTACGTTTACAACTAAATTCGACTGAATCAGAGGATCAAAGTCGACCACTCGTGAACTATTCTAGTATTCCTACCAAGATGTCTGTATTCTAATTTCATTAAATATTCTAGTCGGCAAAGATATTTGTTTAAAAAATAGGCTAAACCTAGTCCTGTACAGTCTGGCAGCTTTAAGGTATTTGTTTAAGAATAAGACTAAACCTAGTCCTGTGCAGTCTGGGAGCTCAATTTCCAGGGACACTGGGATTCGCTTGTCCGCTTCCACTGTGTTGTTATAGTTATCTATCCATTCCATCATCAATTGTAGTTCTTTGTAGTTAGACCTTCCCTGTGAACAAAAGTCAGGAGCCTGTAATTCAGTGGCTGTCTATCATATTTATCATATTTATTATATTTATCATATTTACCGTATAGCGGCTTATTTTCGCGGGTGTAAAATTTCGCGATTTTCATTGAATAAGGTATACGAAATATTTTGGCGGTTATTATTTTGGCGGATTCAAAACTTTTATCAATATCTTTGCACGTGCACTTTTAAATTGGCGGAATTTATTTTGGCGATTTTGTTCTATCCGCGAAAATAAGCGAAAATTTACACCCCGCGAAAATAACCCGCTATACGGTATCATATTTATCATATTCGTTTTTCGTACATAAATCAGGCCTTTGCTTTTTTCATTTGAATTGTTTGTCATGACAGGCCTTTTATAGCTTACTACATGGTATGGTTTTATTTTCTTTGTTGAATGCCGTCCGGTGACCTATAGTTCCTTACATCTACGTCATCTGGTATCTGGTGAGAAATTGTCTCATTGGCTTCTTAATTTTATTTTAACAATATTTTGAAAATGTTAACAAATATAATCACTAACAGCATAAGTAAAATTCATTATTCCTGTTTCCGTCCGTTACACCAAATAAAAGTATATAATAATATTTTTTCCAATCGCTCTTGGTAAAAAATCCTTTGCATGTTTAAAGAAATCAGTCTTAAAGTTTTGGTAAAATGTGCAGAACAGAAGCTCCATTCAATTGACGTATATATACAAACAACTAGATAACCAGAGAAATCTAATACTTATTATATATGTCTCTGAACAAACCAAGATGAGTGAACCCTGGGCGGATCCAGGGTTTAAGGAAAAGATGGGTTATTGTCTGTAATAGTAAAAAAAAAAACCAAAAAACGGAGAGCGTAGCAAAGACGATTTTATGACAAAAGATCATTTTTTTTTCTGATCAAAGAGGGGGTTGGGTACGTTCTTAATTTACGCCCCATCTTGGATCCACCATTGCAGACGGTTTTCAACAATTGGACGATATGTTTCTCCGATATGAATCTAAACATATGTCAAAGACCGTCACTATGAAGGTACCAGTTGAGAAAATAGCATTCCGCACATATAAACATGTTACCCAAAGCGGGTGCATTATTTAAACCCCAAGCCGATAAATCTAAATTCTGTTTACATGGCAGAGAAACATAAAATACCTATTTTATGTTTTTTCTCATGTTATTGATGAGAATGAAATATTCTTCTTCAGCACAGGCACTTGTCTCTCAAAAAAAATTACCTAAATACTGTGATATAAAGTATATAGGTTTTTTTTCAGAAGACAAGTGCCTGTGGTCTTCAGCCCTGTTTGAACGCCAGGATAACAAAACTTCTGTTTACTGCAATCGAGACGAGCACACGACAACGAAACCCTGATGTACTCGGCCGAAAAAAAGGGGTGTGTACAGTAATAAAAAATATGTAGAATGTAAGATACATTCAAATAAATAAACAAAGAATCATAGAAATACGTAGGAACAGTTTGAGCCAAAACATTAACACAAATCATTCAAATAATTATTAAAAAAATATTTACATACTTCTAAGTGAATCCAATTGTATTTCGACAGCTGTATACATCTAAAATCTTCAAACGTCAGTTCTTTGAAATTCCTTTAAATAACAAAAGCTTTTTAAAAAAGTATTTGAATCATTTACAAAATGAAATGGCACAGATGTCAAATTATGGAAACTGCACTATATTTGGGCCTTTTAAAGCTGACTTTACGGTATGGGTTTGGTTCATTGTTGAAGTAACCTATAGTTGACTCATTTAAGGAGATTCATTTTGCTTTGTCATATTTGAGATTTTAAGGTATGTTGTGGATCGATATTAGAACTTTGGCAAAGAACATAAATACGACAGAGATTTCCGTACATAAATACGACAAAGATTACCGTACCTAAATACAACAAAGATTACCGTACCTAAAACGACAAAGATTACCGTGCTTGTTTTCGAGAACAATACACAGTATGATGCCTTATTGTTTTGCAAATGATGTGATATGATGACATGCATTTTGTTATTCTGAGAACAAAATGGGATTTCCTGTCAAAATATGACCCATGTTTCGTAACTGTAAGACTTTAAATCATCAGTGCATGTCTTTAGCAACAACAGCAATAATAATAATGTTATATATATATATGCTCTTTGGTCGAGTTGTTGTCTCTTTGACACATTCCCCATTTCCATTCTCAATTTTGTTTTATATATATATATATATATATATAGTCTATCCTTAATTGAGATAAATTATATGGCCTTCCAAATACCGTTTCGATTCCTAAAGTCACTGAAGAGACATTAATTGTCGAAATCCGGATATGGTGTACAAAAACCTTTGCACCTTTTGTTTGCGGTATACCATCTTTTTCGCAAGTTTAATGTTTTCTGTTTAGTATTAAATTTATAATAAAGATCCATATTTTACATCTGGTGATACGTTTTTTGGCAATCGCCAATGGCAGTCAGCAGGGTTTAAGAACATTTGTTGTTCGACCTGTTAGTCAAATGCGTTTTGTTGAAATATACCTTATCACTTTTTTGGTCTTTTGGAAAATGTTGTTTGTGCTGTATTTAGACCCCTCTACCAAGAAATTTGTTTTGCATGCACGCGTATAAAAATTGCGGTTTTTATCCAACGCAATCATAGGTTTGAACGTTGTTTTCAATTTAGACTTTTATATATATATATATATACAAAAGTCTAAATAACAGCCCAACAATGTTAGATCTGTAAATTTGCGTTAGCTATATATATATATATATATATATGCAGGAAAAGCATAACAAAACTTGACAAACCTGTCATAATGTAAGATGGTTCTTGTTCCGTTTTCTCTGTTATTGATGACTATAGACCGTGGAGTGGCTATCTCATCAAGTGGTTTTGGACAATTTACGATGTCAACATTATAACTATGAAATATTTCCTTGAGAAACCTTGAAAATAAAATAAAAACAGTTAAACTAATGCTTCATAAAGATATGTAGTTGGTCTTTATACCCAAAGTTACTACACCAAAATAGGTTTTTCCCCTTCCTGTTAAATCAAATTTATTGTGTCATTAACGAATTTAAGTTGAGAGTTGTGTGTTTCGAATTTCTCAACAAAAATCTGCTCTGGATTTTAAATTTATTTCAGGCTAAGTCGAATTTCACTTGTTATCGCCCATCGGTAAAAATATATGTTATTTTATTACAAGTGACCGCATTTTAAGTCTTTTGTTATACATCCCTGTTAGGTATAATGCTTATTTATAATATCCGTATCGCTTGTTACCTTCTTTTTTTTAAATTGACTACAGCTTTCTAATGGCAATTTAAGCTCCAAAAACGATAACGTCGCAAAAACTATTTCGACATACGTCGAGTATCGTTTTCGAACGAATCCCATTGCATAATTTTTTTCACTCGAGCACATATTTTTTTATTGCTTACCCAGCTTCTTGGTCAGTACCGAGTGTGCCCAAAAATTCTGCTTTAGCCCCGAGTAAAGAGAGAATGCAGCTTGTATATGCAGCGTTGCCTCCCCTTTGCCGGTAAAACTCTTGTGCCCTGAAAAAATGAAAAATATAAATCGGCTGGAACTGCAAAACTGCTGGAATCCCTTTAAATCAAATAAACAGAGAGAGAGAGAGAGAGTGTAAAAACTGTATAGGAAAACCAGGTTGTTGTACATGCTATGGAGGAAATATGAATATATACATGCCGTGGACTGTTGAAATTTCGAATTAGTTTTACTTGGTGATATCTTACCTCGTCAATATATCTTCCTCTGGATAAGTAGAGACAACAGTTACCGTATCTACACATGCTAAACCTACAACGAGAAATGTTTTCTCCATATCGTGTATACATCACTTATTCCAATTTCACACAGATAGGTAAAAATATCAACGCGTTATCTGTGTTATCTTTCATACCGGTATGCTTGAGTGTTTTCTACTTCTGGGTCAAGGATAGCTTATGTTTTACTATAACAGAACGCCTTAATGCAAATTATTCCATGTGCTACTTCTTCTACATTGTAGGTTCGTCAAAGTGGGTCGACCAGAAGACGAGAATTTTGACTACCAATGGAAAATGAGCGGATTTAGATAGGGGTCAAAATTTTGCCTTGCAACATGCAGGTCGCCTACGTAACCCTCTAAGAGTTCAGTGTGTATGGTGTTGTAAGTGCTCTTTAGTGTGCAAAGAGTAACACTCTATCTATGTACACGAGGCAATGGATTTAGCGTCTCCATTCATTCAGACTGGTAGAATTCCCGATCCCATAAAATTATAATGTCATCTCACTAAAAATGATTCAAAATGTGTTGCCTTCGTTGAGCCCATCTATCCCATTGAACCTGAAATAAAGGATATCGCAGATACAGTCAAGTCTGATTCGTATCTTGACTTACAACTCGAGTTTGACTATGAGGGTCGGTTGGGAACTAAACTTTAGGATAAAAGTGATGATTTTAGCTTTCCTATTGTGAACTTTCTATTACTATGTCACAACATTCCAACTGCGCCTGCATATACAGTTGACACGGTATTCCAGAGCTTGCGTTTCCCATCATGAATTCCTTTATAGAGGATTGGTGTTCATTCTGGCTCAAAAGGAAGCTACTACATGAAGAGTTAACTATTGGTAAAGGTCATGTGTTTTACCAACGCCACTATATTTATGATCGTTATGGGATATTTATGTCACAGATGACCATTTTTGAAGATATGTCAATTCAATTGTCTTAGCCACAATTCCGTCCTCTTTTCCTCGATTATGACAACACCGATCTGCGAATTAACAACTATTTACTTGCCTATTGTAAAAAGATGGGTGCCACTAGTGTAGCAGAATCTGCAAGCAACATGTTTATCATATGTTTTTACTAAAGACAAAAATTGTACATATTAATTTTAAGTGGATTTTGACATGTCGCGAGCAACACTACGGTGTCACTAGTTAGAAGGATTTAATGCTTTCTGAGACACCTGTAATAACCCTGGTTTTGTGTGGTATTTATGTTGCTCGGTCTTTACGTTCTCGGACCATATCGATCGGTGTAGTGTTTAGTTGACTGTTCGTCTTTTTTATATTTTTTTTGACGGATGAGTTTTGATTGTTCTCTTTAAATCGTATTCCATTTCCTTCCATGCATGTGACCTACTTTTTACCGAATTACAGTCATTCGAAAATTTTACAAATTCTTTTCCGTTGTCAACTATTCTTGCAGGTGCTAAACTGACTTGAACATTTCAATGACTGACAGATCACATGCAAGTTTTTACCTTATTGCAGTCGATGGTGATTTTCGACATAGAACATAATATACAACATGGTGAGCCATCATGCTTAATTTGGAACAAATATTTTTAAACTGAATGATGGAAATATTTATAATAACATAATTAATAATGACATTAAAGTAATTTCTTACTCAGCTTTTTTATATATTCATGTACTTAAACGTAATCGTAATTATTAATTATTCAGTCTAGTCAGGAAATTATACATTATGCTATACCACTAAATTTTCGGATTGAATAATATCTATAGAAATAATAGCAAATAAGAATAGAGAAAAAGGAGGTCCATACCCCAATCACCCGTGACTCCAACAATATATTCCGTTTCGCAATGTTAGAAATAGCTATCTATATATAAATGTTTTTAAAATATGTCTAAGTTTTTTCGTAAGAATATTTTAGGATATCCGACCAAAACACATCACAGATCTAAGGTCTTGTTTTTTTTTAAATATATCCGTTTTCTTGCATTCCGCAAGTTGGTTTTCGTGTTCATTCACCACAAAACCAGAATTAAGTTACTTTAAACACAAATTATTCGTAGAGTATATGCAACAAAGAAGAATGGCATTTATATGCTATAGCTTTAAAAAAAAATCTTCACTTAATTACATAAACGTTTAAGTTCACCAACGAAGGAATGTCTTTTTAAAACGGTTATGAATAGTAAGCGGCGAAATATCTTTTTAAGGAACAGTTTGGGGGAGGTACAAGAAAGCAAAGGGTAAAGAGAATATCTGTTTGTATATTACCGATAGGAATTACTTGTGATAGATCATTGATATTTTATTTAAAGTCGCATGACTACTCAGTTTGACGACAATTTCGAGACCCTGCCCCTAGGACATGGTCCAGTGACCTTGAATTAATTAGCAATTTTCAATGTTAAGTTTTCTGCTCAAGTTAGATCGATTGGAACTTCTTATGTTTTCTATAAAGTTATATTACTGTCTGTACATCTCAGTTTGTCGACCATTTCTAGAACTTGCCCACTAGATCATGTTCCAACGACTTTGAATTAATAAGCAATGTTGCTGTCCATCAGATTGTCTTTTTCTTAATTTAATGCCGACACGCAAGACAAGACATACCTCTGTGTCAACAGTTTATAATGGGATTGTTGTCATACCTTCATCTTCCGTTATCCCTCCACCTAAAGTAACCTTATTTGTCTTCCAGGGATTGTTGTCACTTCTTTGATCGTCCCTTATCCCTTCATCTCAAGTAACCTTCTTAGTTTCATGTGATTGGTTTCACATCTATATCTGCCCCTTATCCCTTCACCTCAAGTAATCTTATAAGTTTCGTGGGATTGTTGTCACATCTATATCTGCCCCTTATCCATTCACCTCAAGTAACCTTCTTAGTTTCGTGGGATTGTTGTCATATCTATATCCGTCCCTTATCCCTTCACCTCAAGTAACCTTCTTAGATTTGTGGGATTGTAGTCATATCTATATCCGTCCCTTATCCCTTCACCTCAAGTTACCTTCTTAGATTTGTGGGATTGTAGTCACATCTATATCCGTCCCTTATCCAATCACCTCAAGTAACCTTCTTAGTTTCGTGGGATTATTGTCAAATCTATATCCGCCCTTACCCCTTCACCTCAAGTAACCTTCTTAGTTTCGGTGGATTGTTGTCACATTTTTATCCGCCCCTTATCCCTTCACCTCAAGTAACCTTCTTTGGATTCTTAGTTTCGTGGGATTGTTGTCACATCTATATCCGCCCCTTATCCCTTCATCTCAAGTAACCTTCTTAGTTTCGTGGGATTGTTGTCAAATCTATATCCGCCCCTTTTCCTTTCACCTCAAGTAACCTTCTCAGTATCGTGGGATTATTGCCACATCTTTATCCGCCCCTTATCCCTTAATCTCAAGTAACCTTCTTAGTTTCGGTGGATTGTTGTCACATTTTTATCCGCCATTTATCCCTTCACCTCAAGTAACCTTCTTAGTTTCAGTGGGATTGTTGTTACATCTATATCCGCCCCAAATTTAAGTAGTTTTTTCCGAGTTTATGTGCTTTCTATACATATGTTCACTTATTTTTAATGAATTCAATCAGTAATATTTCAGATAATAAAAGAGATAAATGCATTATTTTTTTTTCGATTTTTAGTTATAGCTTAACGAGCAAAAATGGTATGCAAAATTTAAAAACTATCTGTGATATAGCCCATTTTCTGTAACTTGACCTTAAAACATTTGACTTTTCTACACTTTACACAAGTATTCCCCATTCTAAAATAAAAGATAAATTTAAAAAATTGGTCCAGCTTATAAAAAAAAGAATAGCCAACGTTGATACAAGTATCTTGTCTTAGGGAGGGATACATCGTACTTTGTAAAATATCACTCTGATTCAAACAAAAAGTTCTCTGAAACTGACACTACTAAGATGCCTGATTTCTTTATTGACAGCATATTTGTTTTGTTTTGATGACGTGTTTTTCTCCAAACAATCGGCATTCCCATGGGAACCAACTGTGCTCCTCTATTTTCCGACGTGTTTCTTAATTCATATGATCCTGACGTCATACAGGAGCTTCTTAGGAAGAATGAAAAGAAGCTAGCATTATCCTTTGTTTGCTTTCCGCTATATAGATGATGTCCTCTGCCTAAATATTTCAAAGTTTGGTGACTATGTTGAACTAATCTATCCAACCGAACTTGAAATAAAGGATACACTTATACAGTTAAGTCTGCCATTATAATTGACAATGAAGGTCGGTTGAGAACAAAACTTTACGGCAAAAGAGATGATTTCAGCTTCCCAATTGTGAACTTTTCATTTCTATGTAGCAACAACGCCCGTATATGGGGTAGATATCTTACAGTTGATACGATATTGCAGGGCTTGCGTTTCCTATTGTGATTTCCTTGATAGAGGGTCGCTGCTCACAAAGAAGCTATTAAACCAAGAGTTCCAAGTGGTGAAGTTGAAGTAATCTCTTCGAAAATTTGACTGACGCGGTCACGAGTTGGTTGACCATTATGGAATATCTGTTTCACAGATGACGACGGATATGTTCCAATCGTCGTAAACACAATCCCTCCTTTTCCCCTGAATGTGACTTACCGAATAATACTTGTCACCGGGTTTGTACTAACATGAGAAACACGACGGATGCCACATGTAGAGCAGGATCTGCTTACCCTTCCGAATCATCTGAGATCGCCCCCAGTTTTTGGTTGGATTCGTGTTGCACAGTCTTTAGTTTTTAACCTGATTTTCGAAGGAAAAATCGGTTATTGATTTGGGGATGTACGGCGGGCGGCTGCCAAACAGTGTCCGTTCATTAACATGAAAACGCTTTGACGAAATTTTTTTCAAATTTAAATATGTTGTTTCCTGTGAATAAATGAAGGTCAAGTTCAATTTTCACGATTTTAGCTTTTCTCATTGTTGAGTTATAGTCCTTTCTAGTAGCCAAAAGTGGCACTTATTACTAAGTATGTGATTGAGTTATTTCCCTTTGAACATAAATGGGTAATTATATATATAAAGTTTGATTACACTTACAGATAAGTTTTATAGACTTTTAAAAGACATTGTATTAATGAACAATGACATTTTGGACTTTTTTTTTCTTTTCTTTGGTAAATTGTTTGAAGAATATTGTGGTAGGTTTGTTTGTTATTCTGTATAAACAAATTTTCTGAATGCTATATATATATATTTTTGGATGAAGTGAACTCCTTTAAAAACTAAGCATATATTGTCTATTAATAAACATATATTTAGATTTCTGATTTTGGGCCCAGTTTTTAAGTTGGTCCAAATCGGGGTCCAAAAATAAACTGTGTTTGATTTCAACATAAATTGAATATATATAGGGTTCTTTGAAATGCTGAATCTAAAGCTGTAATTAGTTTCATTATTAATTAGATAATACCACATTGAGGTCCAAAGGGTCCTAAATTAAAATTTTGTTTAATTTCATGAAAAATTGAATTCTTGGGGTTCTTTGATGTGCTGATTCTAACAATGTTTTAGTGATTAAATCATATCTAATTTTATTGAT